TGTTCGATTTCGTCGCCACAGTTCAGTGACCTACAGCTTCGAAATAATAAAATTAATAAATCAGTTCCAAAATAAGTATTTTTTATAGCTCTTATTATCGTAATAATGTTGCTAAACTAAATATATAACCCAAAAATATATAATTTTATGTAAATCGAATTGTTAAGGGAAATTTATGTTACTGGATCAGGCTTAAACACCAGCCTACTGAAGGTTGTACGTATAGACTTAGTCTGCGTTCGTACAGTATGCACCCAGTGCCCTTAGCTTTGTCTGCGATTGACATACAGTATTTATCAGCCGGTGGAAGAATAATCGTGGAATTGACCATTTTTTTACTACAGCTCTTTCGTTATAAAACAAAATGTCTCAGGAGCTTACTAATAGTGCCTTATTAATGCCAAAAATGAAGCAATATTTTGCAAGAACTAGTAGCAGAAAATCAACCAGCACGAGAACAGCCGTACCCAACACGAGAACAGCCGTACCCCCAGCATGAGAACAGCCGTACCCAGCAAGAGAACAGCCGTACCAAGCATGAGAACAGCCGAACCCAGCACGAGAACAGCCGTACCCAGCACGAGAACAGCCGTACCCAGCACGAGCACAGTTGTACCCAGCACTGGTACAACAGCCATACCCAGCACATGCACAGTTGTACCCAGCACTGGTACAACAGCAGCCAGCACCAGCTCAGAAGCAGCTGAACCCACAGCAGCAGCAAGCACCAGCAAAGCTGATGCAAACATCTAAAAACATCGTGTGCAGCATGAACAGTTAGAACAAGTGTTAAATTTAAGTGTGTACACAGTGTTAAAATTAAAGTTGCAGTAATTTTAGTGTACAATAGTTTTCATAAACTGTATTGTAGTACTCAACATACAGCAGAACTACTTTTAATCAACACAGTGCTAACGGCATAATGCACTACAGTACGTATTTAATGTAGAGCATTCACAACTTCACGAAACTTCAAGATGGACATAACTTCAACAATAAGGTAAATTTATGAAATACAGTATTTTTTAGTAGAGAAGTAATATATAGGTAGAGTATGTAATATGATAATGCATTTTTACTGTGTACAAGAAAAAAAAAGACACTGACACAAACGCCTCCTGAAGGTCACCTCTTGCAACGAATCCAACGCTCCAACGAACTGGGGTTGGTCCCATATAGTACGTTGAATCGAGGTTGCACTGTATATATATGTCGTACCTAGTAGCCAGAACGCACTTCTTTGCCTATTATGCAAGGCCCGATTTGCCTAATAAGGCAAATTTTCATGAATTAATTTTTTTTCGACTACCTAACCTAACCTAACTTTTTCGGCTATCTAACCTAACCTATAAAGATAGGTTAGGTTAGGTAGGGTTGGTTAGGTTCGGTCATATATCTACGTTAATTTTAACTCCAATAAAAAAAATTGACCTAATTCAGTATGAAATGGGTAGCTTTATCATGTCATAAGAAAAAAAATTAGAGAAAATATATTAATTCTGGAAAACTTGGCTTAATAGGCAAATCTGGCCTTGCATAGTATGCCGAGAAGTGTGTTCTGGCTACTAGGTACGACATATATATATATATATATATATATATATATATATATATATATATATATATATATATATATATATATATATATATATATATATATATATATATATATATATATATATATATATATATATATATATATATATATATATATCGTACCTAGTAGCCAGAACACACTTCTCGGCCTACTATACAAGGCCTGATTTGCCTAATAGGCCAAGTGATTTTCATTATGTTCAAAAAAATTGTTCCAATTGGTTTATTTGAAATATTATTATTATAATATTTTAAGTACATACATTATTGACTTTGTTATGTTAGTTTAGGTTAGGTTAAGATAGGTTAGGTTAGGTAGGGTTGGTTAGGTTCGGTCATATATCTACGTTAATTGTAACTCAAATTTAACAAAATTAACTCATACACAATGAAATGGATATAGGATATCAAATTGTTCTACAAGGTAATATATCACTGTAATTATATGGGAAATGGGTAAAATACCCATCTGTCTGGAGAAATGCACCAGAGTCCAGACACTTGGTGTGCACCGATACTATGAACACTGCCAGCTTTTCATTAATACATTCAAGAGTTTTGCACATCCAGCATACATTCCAATGTTAATGTATAGAATAACAACACCTCTTTCAATCTATACAATAACTTTTTGAACATTTTTTATTATACAGTAATTTAATCCACTGAGAATGTCAATAAATTTGTTTCTAAATAAGAATGACTTTACCCCTAATTGCAGCTTTTTGGTATTACCAAATAGGCTGATATTTGATCATATCACTAGCAGATACTGTAGTAGAATTTAACTAAGAAAAGTGCATAAATTATAGGTCAGAGAACCTAAGCAAACATACATGGCTTGACTTGGGTCTGTGGGCCACTCCAAGCAACTGGGCAACAAAAATCATTCCAGAGCTAAGTCAATTCTCGTATTAGGAATGGTTGAAGGCCACTGAGGCTAACAATACTGCAAACCAGGCATGACAAGGCGGATCACACTGAAACTTTTAAAAATCCTGAACAAGTTATAGGATGTTGACAAAAACAATTTCTTCAAAACATCAGAAGTAACACAAAGAGCAATGGTTTCAAGCTCAACAAGCCACAATGTAGGACTGACAAAAGGAGACGCTTTTTCACCCACAGGGTTATAAACCCATGGAACTGCCTACCCGCCAAAGCTGTAACTGAGAAAACTTTGCTGAATTTCAAAATATACCTAGAAAAGATCATCAAGGCAAATGGGGGGACTTCTGACAAGGTACTGGCTACCTGTTTTCTTCGAGGCCACTAGTGTTAGTAGCCCTTGTGTAAATCAGGTATTACGCAAATGGCATATGACCTATGAGAAGTGCTCGTGTTCATAACAGTTTACGCTATGCCATGACAGGTGCCTCTGAGATAGCACTGGTAGCATGGATATGTGTAGTCAGGCAAGGGCCTGTATGTTAAACTCAGGAAGTGGCCACCTAATATTCTCAGGGACACCCCAACAACCCAAATCTAAAACCATCCTCCACACCCACCACAACCCAGCTCAGGGACACCTAGCAGCACCCAACATCTGTAACTACCCTCAAAGACCTTGCCCAGGGCATTAAAACCTTACCAGGGAAAAATTATGACATAATTGTGACATTACATATCTTGAGCATATCACATATAAAACTAAACATTTTATCTCTTAGTTTGGTTAGGTTAGGTTGCCAACACCCCACATCTGTATCCACTCTCCACAACTGTCCCTAGAGACAGCACCAACACCCCACATCTGTAACCACCTTCCACAACTGTCCCTAGAGACAGCACCAACACTCCACATCTGTAACCACCCTCCACAACTCTGCCTAAAGACAGCCAGCACCCTTCACAACCCTACTATAAAAATAAAATAAAATAAAATGTTTATTCAAGTAAGGTACATACATACACGAGATTTTACAAAAATTGATAGATTTATAGATAGAGCTAATACATACAATGCCTAAAGCCACTATTACGCAAAGTGTTTCGGGCAGGAAAACATTAATGACTAAAACTTAATGCTAATTGAGTATAAAGAATAAAATGTGTTGAGAACAAATAAAAATAAAAAATGGGGGAACATGGCTGAAAAAGCAGCACAAAAACAATTAGGTCGACAAACAGCATTGTTTAAAAAAACAGACATGGGTTGACAATAGAGGGATAAGGTAGGTTACAGGGAATTTATTAGGTAGTGCTTCGCTTTTATCTTAAACTGGTTGAGAGAGGTACAGTCTTTAACATGATTGGGAAGGTCATTCCACATTCTGGGTCCCTTGATTTGTAGAGCATTTCTAGTTTGATTAAGTCGTACTCTTGGAATATCAAAACTGTATTTGTTTCTGGTGTGGTGCTCATGGGTTCTGTTACAACCTTCAATTAAGCTTTTGAGGTCAGGATTGGCATTACAGTTCAGCATTTTATATACAGTATGTATAATACACATGAGAGAATGTGCAGTGACTTAATATCTAACATATTCAGAGATTTGAGTAGGGGTACCGAGTGATGTCTGGGGCCAGAGTTGGATATTGTCATAATAGCAGCTTTGTGTTGAGTAATTGGAGGACGTAAATGATTTTGGGTAGTAGAACCCCAAGCATAAATACCATAGTTGAGATATGGATAGATGAAGGAGTAGTAGAGAGTCACCAGGGCAGGGCGGGGTACATAATATCTGATCTTAGAAAGAATGCCAACAGTTTTTGAAACTTTTTTTGATATATTTTGAATGTGTTACTGGAAATTCAGCTTGTGGTTAATGAGAACGCCAAGGAATTTGCCATCTATTTTGTTACAAATTTGGGTACTGTTTATTCTGAGATTTATTTGATTAGAGGATTTATTGCCAAACAGAATATAGAAAGTTTTGTCAATGTTAAGGGTGAGTTTGTTGGCAGTTAGCCAAAGACGGACTTTATTTAGCTCAGTATTTACTGTGGCATTTAGAGCAAGGGGGTCAGGACTGGAGTAAATGAAGGTTGTGTCGTCAGCAAATAGAATTGGTTTGAGGTGTTGGGTGGCATTTGGAAGGTCATTAATGTAGATGAGAAAGAGAAGGCCAAGTATGCTGCCCTGAGGAACACCGATGTTGATGGGTAGGGTGGGAGAAATTGAATTATTCATAGAAACATACTGGAGCCTGTCAGTAAGGTAAGATTTGAGGTATTGCAGGGAGTGTCCTCTGACTCCATAATGATGTAATTTAAGAAGAAGGTTTTGGTGGTTGACAGTGTCAAAAGCCTTATGCAGGTCCACAAATAACCCAACAGGGAACTCATTTTTATCAAGAGCTGCATGAATCAAGTTAATCGTATTAATAAGTGTACTCAGGGATACCCACAACACCTTACATGAAAAGGGCAATGATTCACAAGGTGGGGTGAGAGCAGACTCACCAGGTGTGATAGGGCCGGTGGATGAGTAGCATCCTTGTGATAAGAGAAAGAGAGAGAGCAGGCTCTCGCCTAATATTATGACGAGGCGCTCTGCTTTCCACTCTTATTGTAGGCCTATATAGGTGGGTGTCAATCTCCTCGGGTGGGTGTAAGTCACTCCAGGTGTGTGCTGGCTCTCCCCAGGCGGCTTTAGGCCTCAGGTGGCGTGAATGGCGGATCCAGATCAGGTGTTGTCGTCAGCTGGTTGTTGTGGCAGCTGATGTTTGTTGACACAGCTGACACATGCAGTAGCGATCCGTAGAATTACACACACAACTAATTAAACTACACAAGACGATATACTGGTATAATATATTTCTACTAAAATGTTGGTGCTGGATGTAGAACGCGAGAAAATTAGTTTTACCTAGAAATAAACTTATTTTATAATTAATAAAAACGGAAATTGATGGCAGGTGGCGTCAAAGGAAGTCGATGATCTAAGCGGGTATAGAGTGGTGCGACTTGTCCAAGAAATATTGGTACCTAAATGTCAAATCAAAAACCAAATTTGAATTTATTTTATTTATTTATTTATATATATACACGAAGGTACATTGGGATTGTGAGGATACATAGCATAGTAATTACATTCTTGTAAAGCCACTAGTACGCGCAGTGTTTCGGGCAGAAACGCCCGAAACAAATCAAATAAATAAATAAATATATATAAATATGTTTATTCAGGTAAGGTACATACATACAAGTGATGTTACATTAATGGATCAATATATAGATAGAGCTAGTACATACAATGCCTAAAGCCACTATTAAGCAATGCGTTTCGGGCAGGAAAATGTTGTTTTGAAAATCAATGAAAATCAAATGTTTATTTAGGTAAAGTACATACATACAAGGCGTGATACAGATTTTGATGAATTTATAGATAGAGCTAGTACATACAATGCCTAAAGCCACTAATACGCAAAGCGTTTCGGGCAGAAAAAACACTAAAGACTAAAACTTAATACTAATTGAGATTAAAGTATAAAATGTTTTGAGAAAAATATAAAAATAAAGGGGGAACATGGCAGGAAAATAGCAAAAATATAATTTGGTCGACAAACAGCATTGTTTATAAATAACAGACATGGGTTGACATTATAGGGATAAGGTAGGTTACAGGGAGTTAATTAGGTAGTACTTAGTTTTTATCTTAAACTAGTTGAGAGAGGTACAGTCTTTAACATGATTGGGAAGGTCATTACACATTCTGGGTCCCTTGATTTGTGGAGCATTTCTAGTTTGGTTAAGTCGTATTCTTGGAATATCAAAAAGGTATTTGTTTCTAGTATGGTGCTCATGGGTTCTGTTACAACCTTCAATGAAGCTATTAAGGTCAGGATCGGCATTAAAGTTCAGCGTTTCATATATATATATATATATATATATATATATATATATATATATATATATATATATATATATATATATATATATATATATATATATATATATATATATATATATATATATATATATATATATATATATATATATATATATATATATATATATATATATATATATATATATATATATATATATATATATATATATATATATATAATATATATATATATATATATATATATATATGTCGTACCTAGTAGCCAGAACTCACTTCTCAGCCTACTATTCAAGGCCCGATTTGCCTAATAAGCCAAGTTTTCCTGAATTAATATATTTACTATAATTTTTTTCTTATGAAATGATAAAGCAACCCTTTTCTCTATGTATGAGGTCAATTTTTTTTTATTGGAGTTAAAATTAACGTACATATATGACCGAACCTAACCAACCCTACCTAACCTAACCTAACCTATATTTATAGGTAAGGTTAGGTTAGGTAGCCAAAAAAAGCTAGGTTAGGTTAGGTTAGGTAGGTTAGGTAGACGAAAAAACATTAATTCATGAAAATTTGGCTTATTAGGCAAATCGGGCCTAGAATAGTAGGCTGAGAAGTGCGTTCTGGCTATTAGGTACGACATATATATATATATATATATATATATATATATATATATATATAATACACATGAGAGGATGTGCAGTGACTTAATATCTAACATATTCAGAGATTTGAGTAAGGGTACCGAGTGATGTCTGGGGCCAGAGTTGGAAATCGTCCTAATAACGGCTTTGTGTTGAGTAACTAAAGGACGTAAATGATTTTGGGTAGCAGAACCCCAAGCACAGATACCATAGTTGAGATAAGGATAGATGAGGGAGTAATAGAGGGCGAGGTACATAATATCTGATCTTAGAAAGAATGCCAATAGTTTTTTAAACTTTTTTTGATATATTTATGATGTGTCCCTGGAAATTCAGTTTGTGGTTAATGAGAACGCCAATAAATTTGCCGTCTATTTTGTTACAAATTTGGGTATTATTTATCCTGAGATTTATTTGATTTGAGGATTTATTGTCAAACAAAATATAGAAAGTTTTGTCAATGTTGTGGGTGAGTTTGTTGGCAGTTAGCCAAAGATGGACTTTATTTAGCTCAGTATTCACTGTGACATTCAGAGCAAGGGGGTCAGGCCTGGAATAAACGAAGGTTGTGTCGTCAGCAAATACAATTGGTTTGAGGTGTTGGGAGGCATTTGGAAGGTCATTAACGTAAATGAGAAAGAGGAGAGGGCCAAGTATGCTGCTCTGAGGAACACCAATGTTGATGGGTAGGGTGGGAGAAATTGAATTAATCACAGAAACATACTGGAGCCTGTCAGTAAGGTAAGATTTGAGGTATTGCAGGGAGTGACCTCTGACTCCATAATGATGTAATTTAAGAAGAAGGTTTTGGTGGTTGACAGTGTCAAATGCCTTACGCAGGTTCACAAATAACCCAACAGGGAACTCATTTTTATCAAGAGCTGCATGTATCAAATTAATTATACTAATAAGTGTATCATTAGTGCTTTTTTGGGTCTGAAGCCATATTGACAAGAGCTAAGTATATTGTGTTTGGCTAGATAAGAGTAAAGCTGCTTGTAGATTAGTTTTTCAAATATTTTTGACAAGTTTGGCAGAATTGATATAGGTCTGTAGTTGTTAACATCAGTGAGATCACCACATTTGTGGACAGGGGTTACTCTCGCTTTTTTTTTAGAATATCTGAAAAGGTTTGGAGTTCAAGTGACTTGTTGACGAGCAATGCAATAGCAGGGGCTAAAAACCTGGAGGCTTTTTTGTAAATTAAAGTTGGTATCTCCTCAAGGGCACTAGACTTGGTTTTAAGGGAAAGGATTACCTAATTTTCATCAGTGGAATTTGCAGGCGTTAGGTACAGAGACTGTGGGTAGTTTCCTGTAAGATAGTTGTTGTTGAGATAGGATACAAAATATAGTTGATAACAAACAAATGTTGTTTGCTGGCACATTAGTCAGCAGAACTATTCGCATACTTTGCGTCATTATAAATAAATAAATAATAATAAATGTTTATTTAGGTAAGGTACATACATACAAGAGATTTTACAAAGTTTGTTGGATTAATAGATAGAGCTAGTACATACAATGCCTAAAGCCACTATTACGCAAAGCGTTTCGGGCAGGACTTATAATGGAATGTGAAAAAATCGCGGAATTTAGAGATAACACCATCAATAGTGTCCAAGAAATGTGTATAAGTACTTCATTCATAATGATGTGCTGGCCGAAATCTTAGCGAAGTATCAAAAATTTGCTTACTGTAAGTAATGCATGCACATGACTAAAGCTGCCGCCCAGTTGGGTGGGTGTGGAGCAAGACTAGTAACTGTGTGACTCATCATTGATGTAAAGTGCCTTATATAGTGACTGTTGTGAGCCTAATGTTGAATCACTTGACACAAAAGATTATTTATGTGTGTATTTGTGTGAGTGATTAAATATGTATGTGTATGTATATATGTATACGTATGTATATGTACATGTATGCATGAGTATGTGTACATGTATATATATATATATATATATATATATATATATATATATATATATATATATATATATATATATATATATATATATATATATATATATATATATATATTAGTATATTTTGGTAGCAGTCTTTCCTGTAGACATATATTATTAAATATGACCGAAAAAGTAAGATTAATAATTCTAACACGAATTTTCTCAATCTTTCGTACATTACGCTTCACTGTTGGAGGTAAATCAAAAATCACTTCTCCAAAATTCATTTTTATTTCTAGTATGTGTATGTGTATGTATGAATACACATACACATGAAATAAAAATGAATTTTGGAGAAGTGATTTTTGATTTACCTCCAACAGTGAAGCGTAATGTACGAAAGATTGAGAAAATTCGTGTTAGAATTATTAATCTTACTTTTTCGGTCATATTTAATAATATATATATATATATATATATATATATATATATATATATATATATATATATATATATATATATATATATATATATATATATAACATTAATAATTTTGTAACCAGTGTCAAAAGATTGTTATTTGCTTAGCTAAACGAATTAGAGGGTTCAGTTCCTGAACCGATTATGTGCCTCTGTAATCCTTTACACCACCGCCCACGGGATGAGTATGGGGTGCATAATAAAGAAAAAAATAGAAAGAAATTGAATTGGCACATTAGTCCTGTGCACATCATATAATAGCATTTCTCTATATGTCACACATTCAATGGGTGATTGTAATTATTAGAATACATGTTTACATTAATACCTAACGAAAACAGACACCACAATTTTAATATTTTTGAAGATAAAAATCCTGCGAATTAAATCAATATTAAATTTAATATTTAATTAAACTCAATGGGAACATTGCTTTATGTGGATGCTGATCGTTGTTCGTTGGCTTGCGTTCACTCTTGCTTGCCACCCTCATTGAACTGAATATTCCTATTCGTTATATGCAGTGAATAGGTTGACGATATTAATAGCACACTTCCAACAGTATATAGGAAAAACAAATTATAAAACTAGTGCTAATCTCATAAACTAGTTTAGGCTTTGTAATTGTTTCGTTCACTCATGGATATTAGAAAATATTCTCATAGTTTACCTACAGTTTACTAGTGAGGGATAGTAGAGTCACATATACCATGGACTGTATGTATATGATTAGCTATCACGTGAAGGCAATCTCTATAATCCCTCATGCAGAATACTTAATACCCGGTTGCACCATAGGTCTCTCTTCCCCTCTCTCTTTCCCTATTCCCCCTCTGTCTACCCATCTCCCCTCTCTCTTCCCCTCTTC